CGACTGGATCTTCTTTTCACCAAATAAAAACAACTCCAGTGAATCTGCATATAAAATATGTTCAAATAGTAACAGAAAGAACAAAAGAATATTTCTGAGCATTGCTGCAATTCAGAGTTCCATTCAGGATGTTACAAAGGCTTTTCTCTGACTTAACCAAAAGTTTCAGAACTCTTGTAAGGAAGCCAGGTTTTGTGAAATTACAGCCCAGTTTTAAAATTAATTCTCATTATAATTGCTCAATGGCTACTAGCCAGGAGGGGAAGGGATGGTGTCCCTAGCCTCTGTTTGCCAGAAGCTGGGAATGGGCAACAAGAAATGGGTCACCTGATGATTACCTGTTTGTTCATTCCCTCTAGGGCACCTGACATTGGCCGCTGTTGGAAGACAGGATATTGGGCTAGATGTGACCCAGTATGGCCATTCATATATTCCGTATGCTAATTCTTTACTTCTTGGAACAAATCATTCTAGAGCACTGTAATGGGGGCCCTCACCCTTGGTGCACCCTGCAGTGGTCCCATGAAGTGCTAAAATTAAGTTTCTGCCTGAGTTTCCCCTACTGGACACCCAGTAAATCCAATAAGGCTTATGTATACTGAACTATGTACCTTCAGAGATCTAGTTTATATAATCTAAAGGCAGAGAATTACATAAATAGGCCTCCGCCCCAGTACCCTCGCTGGAGGGGGGGAGGGACTCAGTTAACCGTAGTCTATTAACCCCACTTATGTCCATGTCTCATACAAGTGAGGCCTTGTTGACCCAGAACCCTCTTCCAGAGTCCAGGCCTCTGTCGTTAGCTGGGAAAGGGTCTTTCCTCTTGAGTCATGGTCCCCACAGGGGTCAAACAGTGATAACCCTTCCTCAGAACAGCACACAATTCCTTTGATCTGGGGCTCACATGCTACCTAGTAAAGTCCTTTGATGGTTTTGCTGAGCCTTGGCATTCGTAGTTCTTCCCTTTCAGAGCCTCCCCCACCTAGGAGCATTCTTCCATGGCTTCCTTTCCTGGTGAACTCCCTGAGAAGTCCTCCCTTTGGAAACTTTGTCTTTCTGTACTCTGGGGACTGTTCCTCTGGCCAGGAAGCTCTTTTCTCTAGAAGACCCCACTGGAAGTAGCTTCCTAGCTAGCTCCCCTGGGGAATTCTTTCCCCAGGTACTTCCTCCCTGTGTTCTCTCCTGCCTGAGGCCACATCACCTGTTATAAGACCCAGCTGTTCCTGAACTATTTAACTACTGCCCAGGCAATCAGTTATCCCCAGGTGGATCTGGGTTGGCTCTTTCTGTAGCAGAGCTTGTCTCTGGCAAGCTGACAACATTACCACCCTCAAGGGCCAGCTAACCTGTAACAAGCACACAAGAGAATACTAGCTAGTACTAAGTAATATGCAGGAGTTGGTTCAAGAAGTAACTATAGTTGAGCCAGTGAGTAATAATGAACCTAAATAATTACGCTCAACATCCTAGAGAGAAATATGCAAAATAACTAATGTAGTGAAATGAACTTTTGAAAGAGGGATTTTTTTTAAAAAAAATGAGGATGCTAGATAAAGATTCTAAAGTCAAAAATAAAGAAATTGAAATTTTCTGCTTGGTTCCACCCTCATTTCCACAAAGGCATTACTCTAATGTGTGGCAAGTCTCATCCCCAACTCAGCTCTACTGTTCTGCTCAGCCACTCCTCCTGTTACTGTCAATTTACAATTGCTCTGTTGAGGCCCGTCTTCTCTCTAGTCATATAAGCTTGGCTTCCTTTGCTCCACTCCCATTCAGCTAGCACCACTGATTCTCTCTTGCAATTTAAAATACTAATGCACCTGACACCATTCAGCTCATACCCAACATTCCATGTTGTCTTTGTCCAGTGAACATGGAAATTGCATTTTATGTTGCTTTTTTGTATAATGTTTTTTTTCTCATTTTTTTCTCATTTTTTTTCTCATTCTCCCTATGCTGTCCTTGTCTTCTCTCCTCACAACCATATCCTGATTTCCAAGAAACATGCTACTATTGTAAAAAGTACATTATAGGGAGTATGACAGCAAACCCCATATTAAAGGTGCCTAACACTTTGTACCTTAAAAAGGTTCTTGAGACCACTTTTCACTCTGAAATGTTGTAGGGGGAAAACTCCTAGGATTGGAGGGGTGCCTTTTTCTGGCATTGTGAAAATCCACACAGATTTGGCAGTTATAAGATGCTTAAAATCACCATTTTCCTCCTGTGACTTTAGTAGTAGAGCTTGTTTCTGGTAGCATGCTACAGACCCTTCTCATTCTATAACACTGCACACATGCTTCCCCATTTTGCTTCAGCATTTGATACAGAAATGCATGGGCAACATTCATTCTCACATTCACCAACTTTCAGGTGCATGTCTCCACAACCTTAATAACATTCTTCCAATGTTATATATGTATATAATTTTTATTCTAAGTTATGTTTCCCTCTTTTGCTATATGTTGTTTTCCTGCTGTAATGGTCTTGCACTAACACATCCAATTATAGTTTAATCACTAGCATGATCCAACATGCCCATCGATAACACAAAGAGTTAATTTATTCATTCTAGATTAGTCTGTTATATATCTGTTATTGTTAGGTTACTAATAAAATATTTGGAGGGTTATTACTAAGAAAAAGTTTCCCACAATAGCTCATCCAGGACCTTATTATTTAACTAAGCACTGTCAACAGCAGTGGTTCTCAACCAGGAGTACGCATACCAGAGGCCTTGCTTAGATATTTCTAAGCTTTTCTAGATAGTTGCTTAGTTTTACAACAGGCTACATAAAAATCACTAGCGAAGTCATTACAAACTAAAATTTCGTACAGACAATGACTTGTTTACACTGTTCTATATACTATACACTGAAATGTAAGTACAATATTTATATTCCAATTGATTTATTTTACAGTTACATGGTGAAAATGAGAAAGTAAGTAATTTTTCAGTGACAGCGTGCTGTGACACTTTTGTAGTTTTTTGTCTGATTTTGTAAGCAAGTAGTTTTTAAGTGAGGTGAAACTTAGGGGTAATGCAAGACAAATGAGACTCCTAATCTGTAGTCTGGAAAAGCTGAGAGCCACTGGTCTGCAGGACATCTGTCAGAAACTATTCAGATAACACTATGCCATTAAATGTTCTAAAATGTTCCTCAACTAAGGTTATTACACTACTGAATGCACGTGTAAAAATTCCCAAAAAACAAACCAAAAAATCAAACCATTTACAAAAGATAATTATCCTAAATCAAGCCAAAGTTGTCAGACTGATCATTGAGGTGGGGACTGATTTTGACCAATGTAGAGTAAATCTTTGTAACACTGGGGCTGCAGATGTGGCAATACTGCTATACATCCAGCAGCGGGAGTATACCAATTTCCTTTCACCCACACATGCAGTTTAGCTTGCTTTGCGCCTTCGTTAATACAAATTGCCTTTTTGCATGTCTTCTCAAGAAGGGCATATGACCCTATGATCATATTCAGTCAATGTAAAGTGTTCTGCACAATTCAGATAAACACTGAAGAAACTTCTGTAGTCCACATTTAGTCCACCTTTATAAGGTTGCAATCAAATAGTATCCTAATCTTGCATACTTATTCCTTTTCTATTTTTTATTATCTTGTATACCATAGCAGATTTAGCTCTTGAACTTACCTTTTTCTCTCCAAGTGCATAATTTATCTCTGTGTCTCATGACACAGGTGAAACTATACAAGTGTGAGGGTAAAGGCTTGTTGAATATTTTCCATAGGAGGTTTATTCTCTGGATTGTGCAGTAAGATTTATTCCAGGATTTGGCAATAAAGTGCCTGTACTGAATCATCTCTAATTTATATTCTTAAAACGTAAAAGGTATCAAAAGAGAAATGCCAAAGATTGGTTTCAGAATGAAAAGCACTTTGCATTTGCTTTAATGCCAATTTAATTATTTCAGTAATTTGTTCTCTTGCTTACTTTGCATATTCATGCTTACTAAATATGATACCATAAAACAATATGTGATAAAAACACTCTAATTATAAGACTTATGTTCAAAAAGACAAAATGAATAATGGGATATTTAAACACCCAGAAGAAATGAAATCACCAGAAAGAAAACAGAATGACCCACCATCACACAAGATAGGAATAAAACATGATAGCAGATAATTTTGTCAAAAAGAGTCATAATGTTAATAGTTTCTCAGATACTATATCCTAGCTAATATATCAACAGTATTAAAAATAAATGTTAACATATTACATCAATGGCACACATTAAGCAACATTAACATTTAGTAAAAAGCAGTTATATATAGTACATTTACTTCTATTTCTATCCTTTTCTATGAACTAAAATTTAAGGGGCAAATTCTCTTTCATCAAAAAGATGGGATTCTGAGCAGAGCTGTGGGCCACTTCCCTACCATTTCACACAGCACCAGAAAAGCGGCTCTACTATTGAACACCACCTCTTCAGGGGGAACAAATGGGAGGGATTCATGAAGTCACATATCCAACACCTTTACTTCTGCAATCGGTGCAGGCAACCCTTTAGAGATATGTTCCAGACTGAGCATCGAGGGTTGTGAGCCTCATGCTTGGGTTCCCCATATCTTTCCTTCCTATACCCATGACAGAAACACACCCATTAAACTATATTCAAAGACTTCCAAGGGTCTTTGTTGGATACAAGAATATGCCTCTTGGATAATTAATTTCAACTTCAGCCTATATACTGTTAATTACAGTCCTTTATGCAGTTCATACAGTTATAACAATCTACTCTAACTCCCACTGACTCCAATGGGCAGTGAACTCTGACCAAACGCCTTAAAAGGATTAAATACAATAATGACACATACATGTATATTGCATATTCTATATTACTATATTTCTATATTACTGATACATACTACATGAAACACAGCACTTTAAATATCACATAAAATAATTTCATTATTAAAACAATTTTAAATAAAAAGGAATAGCATAAAGCAATATTTACCAATTGGGTCTTTTTGATTCTGAAAGAGTATTTTGCTGTTACTGCCATCCATGTTTGCCATATTAATTGTGTTCCCATCAGTCCAGTAAAGCTTCCTTAACAAGAAACAAGATTGATTGAAAATTTGGTTTCATATACGCCATGTTCTAAATGTGTCTGTTTTGAAAAGATGATCAAATGAATAATACATACAATGTTGTTACAGTATGAATGGCTGTACTACCTAGTTCATAAGGTTTGTTATAAAAGTCTTCTGTATTCAGTGCAAGAAATTCTGTTCAAAAGTTCTGAAGCACATGCATTTAGTACAAATAAAATAGACATCAGCAAGTTTAGCACCTGTACGTATGCTTTTTCCCTAAGTTTAGACAAATGGTTGTTTGTGTGCACACACGTACACACACAGACTTTTCTTTTCCCTTGCTGGCCTGCAATTATATAAGGCATGTTAATAAAATGTCAGAAATAATTGTAATAACATCTATCTGTATTATTAAGACTGAGAAAATGAGTTGTCAAATCCAAGTTATTCAATTTTTTTCTTAGTAGTCCTAAAAATAAAAGCAAGTACTGAAAAGCCACCATACATAGTGACAAATACAAGGAATCTTTCCATATATTTTATGAAATCCCACCAGTTAAGAACAATCATACTTTACCCCCTGACAGGGTGCACTGCAAGACACTGGGGTTTATCGATTCCATGGATGATTGAGGTTTTCAAAGAACCATCTAAATGTGCCACATTAATTTGAGTTTCATCAAACTCCGAGCTAATCCAGTACAAATTTCGTGACACCCAATCCACTGCAAGGCCTCTAATACTCTGAATATCTGCAAAATGTGAAAGAGCAAATTAAAAGTGAATATAGGTTGTTCATTTGGTTTCCTTTCCAAATAAATTATTTTCTGTTTTAGGGAAAAATAATTTATATTTTAATTTGTTAGCAAAATTGTTCAAGATTGCAATCTCATTCACTTATCAACCATTGTTAAAGCATGAATAATTGTTAATGTTCTGATGAGCCAGATGAAAGCCTACAGCAACAATTAACACTGAAATTGCACTACACAGTCAATAATTCTCAGCAAACACTGAGGAGTAAAAAATAGACATCAATCGTATTATCCAAGGATAATAACCAACTATAAACTGTATAACTGTTAGTGCATTTTCCAGCTTAGGGGGAAAACATTATTTGTTTGGTTTTAATACCTCTGCAACAGGTGTGCTGTTTAAAAAGCGTCAGTTTGACAAACATGATTTGGAAAAAAAATCACCCTCCCTTAACAGGTTCAGAAATTAATTTCTATTTTTAAAGTTAATTTATACAAAATCAATCATGATGTGTGATGAAACCTCATGCTCACTCTGAGGGGGATGATGGTTCATAGGCAGGCTGTTAAAAGGCCTCCTCAAACAATGAGCCCAACTGCACTGATTGATTCCATGGGAGTCCAGCACGGTTCCAGAAGTGCTGTTTCTCCCTACTTTCTCAGCGTCAAGGAGCTCCCTGGCACCAAAAATACAGATTCAGTGACTCTGGTCAGCACTAGAGCCAAAGAAAGCACTAAGGATGACTCCAAACCTGAGGGCTCCATGGCACCAGTAATGTAGGAAGATAGATATAGCATTGCCAGTGTTGTAGTACCTAATTCCAGAACAGGACTCCAACTAGGCTCTTGAAAAAGGTGCTGGTCCCTGTAATGAAGGCTTCAGCTTGCTCCCTCTGTGGGACATAGAAGCCAAGGATGGCATACTATGTGGCCCTGAACAGAACAACGGCCTTGAACCTGGACCACATCCAAAGTTCTTACAGCCTCCTTCCTGAGACAAGCCAGCACCAAAGTCTACTATTTTTTTTTACAGGTTCAGACACAAAAGCCCAGTAAACCAAGCACCAAACTGGGAATGACTATGCTCAAGTTAGATGAGACACTGGATATGAACATCAAATTCAGGAAAACTATAGAGGCAAGAGACACACTTCTAGAATCCATATGTTTCAAGGTCTTACTTGGCCATGATGCCAGAGCTATCATTATCAATCTAAAAACTACTATTGAAAAAAAAAAAAACCCTAAACCAATGCATACCCATAAAAAGGTATATTAGAGAAATCTGATGAAAGACCAGAGGTCCAGGGGCAGCACAGTTCTTCTGTCCACAACTGACTGAGAAAGAGAAGGGACTAAGGCAAGTGGAGCCACAAGGCACTTTTATCACCTTGTTCCAAATGTTTGAATCTACTCATACGGCCCAATATCACAGCTTTCCGGTAGGCGCTGAAACTGCAGTACGAGTCCTCTTTGCCCACAAGTGGGAATATGCAGAAAATACTTTAAAGGAAAACTGATTCTTGGTCTCCCTCCAAGATTTTGTCAAGCTGAGATTGCTAAACTGGCTATATGCTTGGAAATATTTCAGAAACTTGGAAACTTTTGCTCCTTTTGGAAATGGGGCTTAAAACTCATTGGTATCTGAGGAAGTTGAACACAATGACAGTCCCTGCTAAGTACCCTTGAACTGAATTCTTGTGCATTCAACCTTTTTGCTTTATCTCTGACATCAAAGAGCATATGCAGCTGATTTCAAGCCATGTTCTGGCATTATAGATTTTGCAAGCTTTTTTATTCAGGTCAAATTGCATCTGGTCTATAAAGGAAAGGTAATTTGCAATATGAACTGTAGCCACTGCCGAAGACAGATAGATATAAAGAGAAAGACAATACATTACTCATCAAATTCATTGACAAGTTTTGCATTTTTTTATTAAATAGTTTATACAACAACTCAATTTTTTCTGGCATTCAGCCACTTTTGCTGATAAACTCTTTTTTTCTAGAAGAATTCCAGTACCTCAGTTCAGGTCCAACATACAGAACTGAGAGTCTGTGTGGTTTTTGATCTGGCCACTGTTGACTTCATCACCGGATTCATGAAGACAGTGGGAAACAGAGCAACATTCTCCCTAAAACACATATATCAGCGAACTTAGCAACATCCAAAATTAAATGAAAATGCTGCCATTTCTTCACCAGTTGATCCAGAAAATAATACAAGTACACAGCAGGCATATTGCAAAGGAGAGCATGGTCTCTCTACTTGTCAAACTTTGTCTTTGGGATTGTCTGGAGACAGGGCCGGCTCCAGGCACCAGTGAAGGAAGCAGGTGTCTGGGGCGGCCAATAGAAAGTGGAGGCACTTCCTGAGTTATTGGGATGGCATGTCCAGGTCTTCGGCGACAATTCGGCAGCGGGTCCTTCATTCCCTCTTTTCCTCTTCGGCGGCAATTTGGCGGCAGCTCAATCGGGTTTTTCTTTTTTTCTTCGCCGCTTGGGGTGGCAAAAAACCTGAAGCTGGCTCTGTCTGGAGAGGAGCTAAAGAAAAGCCTTCAATATTACTTATTTGATCATAAAATGAGAAAATGTAGAACCCTCAACAGAAGTGCTATTATCCTTGTACTGTTCTTGTTTGGATTTTGCCTCTGAGGAGTCAACCATCACTTCAGTTTTCAAATAGATACATATTCCTACAGAAAGTCCTCATTAGACTGGCCCTCCTGATTTCAAGCAGGTGGTTTGGAATGATGTGTTCATACAGAGGAGAGGAGACCTGCTGCTGAACAGGAGACCGGCTGTTCCCAGTACAGGAATTGACACTGGTTGCACCAAAACTGCTAATGAAGCCAACAAATGGAGTAACATCAGTACTGGTGAATATTGGTGCTGAGTAGGTGGAGACAGCAGAGTTCAGAACCCAGAGCCAATGCAGTCTCTGCATCCACAGTGCTGATGCTTCACAACAGCACGGTGCAATCTACTTGTGTGCTATCAAATCTGAAAGTATTTCTGTTGTTGCCTCCTGGAATGTACGAGCTTTGTGTAACACAAACAGGAATCAAATGCTGAGAATTTAGTGACTGGAACTTCTCAAGGCAAGCAGAGTGCTCTTCAGGGCCAATACCTCACTTAGGTGGGGGGGAAAAAGAAACATGTCACCCTTCAGTACTAGAAGGATGGCACACAAAAATGGAGGGCACTGATACCTCAACTCAGCTCAGGAGATCCCTACATCTTTGTGAGGAGAATTATCTGCAGGATGGCAGGGAAACCATCAGTCTAGGCTTTCCCTGGACCTGCACCAGAGTGGTTGATGTCAAAATGCTTGATGCTTCCCACTGGAGATCAACTTTTGTGAAGCACAGCGAGCCCAGTAAGCATTAGGAATATCAGTATTTCTAAAGAAGGATATTGGTGTTTCTACAGAAGGATGAGGAGTACAACTGAGGATGCATTATGCACCTAGCCAATCATGATTCTTTTCTGGACAAATGACTTAGTAGTTGTTCATGTACACACTTACGTCATCTAAGAAAAATACTGTCTTTTTATCAGTTTCCTTTGTCTACTGTCATAAGAAGAGTTGGCCAATAATGAAAATAGAGAAAAACCAATACAGCATTGAAGCATCAATCAGCCAGAAAACTGACACAGGCCAAGTGTAATGGAAGGAAACAGGATCAAAAGGTTGCACTCCTCAACAATGAACGTTCATTGTTGAGGAGTGCAACCTTTTGATCCAATCAGTTGAAGCCTGGACACACTGGAAGAAAGTATCAGGTATATTAATCATGATGATATCACAAACATTCTAAAGCCCATATAGAGTACAACGCTTGAAGGTGTAAACTATGCAGGCATCACCCCAAAGTTACTGCCACTTTGTATTTTTTGTATTTGAATTTCGGGTTGTGGTTCACAAAATATATCTGAGTGGGGACAATTAGGCAAGAACAATGGTCCAGAGGGAACTCATCTTTTCTGCCCAAAGTCAGTGTAACTGACTATGAAATGGAGCATAAAAATGCATGAAATGTAAAGCTATTTTCAGTACACTATTTTTTTCCTGCTTTTTGTTTTTAATTTTCTCCTTTCTAACTTTTCTAGGAAGGCAGCATTTGTTCTGTTAGATAAAACAAATTTAATTTTTTAATAAATATTATATATCCCAGCTAAATCTTAATTATATTTGAAAGCATATATGTTTTATGGTCTTACTAAATTAGTATTGGCCTATTAATAAACATTATTGTTCTGCTCCAATTTTCTGTAATCCATTTAAAATACAAATCACAAGAAATGTGGACAAATTTAAATATTCCATAGTTAGTACACATGCATATTTATTATAATGAATGACTACTACTTTTAAATAAACATCATGTTGTTCACCTCTTGAGATAACTGTTTCCAAACCAGTGCCATTAATAAAAGCACGCTTGATGGTTTGTGTTTTTACATCAGTCCAGTACAAGCGTTCCTCTGCTGAATCAAAATCTATGACAGTGACATCATCAATGTCAGGGACTGTGAAGGCAGTGATGAAGTTGAAGTATGGATTCTCTATATCCACACCTCTTATTTCTGAACGTCTTGCATAAAGAAGAAATTTCTTCATTTCTGTACAAAAAAAGGAAAATATTTTGTTCCTTAATTACAACTGACTGGATTCAAAGTTATCACCTAAATATTATTTTACAAATTTTAAGCAAAGTTTGTATCAATGATGTAAGAACAATATCTTGTATGCAAATCTGTGGATAAAATGTGTAGCAAGATACTATAGAGAAGTAATACGTATTAATTTACACATATTTAAAATCTTTTCTTAATCGATTATATCAATGTAGTCTTGCAGGATTCCAAAGAAAGAAAAGACTGGAAGTAGTATTTTAAAACGATTAGCTCCCTGAGGCCAGGTCTACAGTACAAACTTACATCAGTATTACTATGTCACTCGGGGGTATGAAAACCCCTAAGTGATGCAGTTATACTGACCTAATCCCGGTGTAGACAGCCCTATGTCGATGAGAGGACTTCTCCCATCAACATAGTTAGCGCCTCTTGCAGAGGAGAATTAATTATGCCAATGGGAGCTTTTTAAGTGTAGACCTGCCCTAAGTGTTATAATAATCTAGTTCTTTATTTGCATATCTTTGTAATACCAAATGGCATTTGAAATCTCAGGAAAATCACTGATGTACATCAGGAAAGAATTACAAATAGAAGTAGTTACAAGAAGCTCTCCAATGTCTGCACTGATTACGAATAGATGAGACAGAAGCATGGGGAGAACAAAGAAGGGGCCCATTGTTCAGCTGAATCCACTTACAAAATACATAATAATAATGTTAATATATGATACATGAATAGAAAATATCAAGGACAAACAGAACCTGTTTTCCTTGTCTCTAAACTACTTAAAATGTTTTAGAGAAATGCGTCAGTGTACGAATTGCAGAGGTAAATTTTGTTTTCTTTAACATATTTTGGTATAGCAAAATATTATTCTAGAGATTTCCTATTTAGGTACTGCAAAGAAGAGTGCATTAAAAGCTTTTACAAATAATGAACACAATTATTTGACATTTCTGGGGCTATTATAAAGCTTTGCTTATAATCTTTATACACACACACACACGCCCCCTGCAAAGCTAGCTGTTTTATGCGTGTTCTTCATTTTAGTTCTTAATCCCCCAAAATTATGCTAAGAAGACTTCAGAAGAAGAGCAGGTAGAGATTAAAGCTATTAAGTATTTTTATGTCATCATTTTCTGATGCTGCACTTTACACTTATAAATCTTCCTGTACTACAGAGATAAGTTCTACTAACACACGACATACATACATAAGCAACAGAAAAAATGAACGTTTATAAATATCAAAGTTCCACACACTGCATATATTAGAATAATTTATCCGCTCTCAAAAAAGTAGGTATACCTTCAAAACTATCACTAAAAAGCACCGTACAGACCATTTTTAAGATTATTAAGCTCTATTCTGCCCCGTTTAAAATTTCAATGCTAATAAAATCAAAGAAAATTTGGTTCCCAAGAAAAAATAAGAAACTTACCATAACATGTTTTCTTGTCTATGGACAGTTTCATCAGATGAGGGCATGTACATGCAGCACTTCTATTGTGATTGATCAGACACATATGAGAACACGGACCTCTGCCATTGTTAGCAGCACAAGGATTAGGAGCTGGAATTATATAATGAGATATTAATACTGGATAGAATAAAGAGTTTAAATAAAAACAACCTCCTGGGGCCAGGAATCAATCTTCCATCAATGCACAGAGAATGTAACCATACAACTCCTTTTAATGTCATTTATATCATGGTGTTTGTCGACGTCTATCATAAATGATTACAAAGCACTTTACATACATAAATAGAGATCACTTCATCCATTGCTGAAAACAAAACAAAAAAATACTGGGGAAAGAAACAGCCAACCAAGGTACATAAGCAACACCACCACACAGACATAGACACAGACACACACACACACACACACAGACACACACACAGAGGAAGGGAAGGGAACAACAACCTCTCCAACTGAAATTGCAAAGAGAATGGTAAACAGCAGAAGGAGGAATTTGGTCTGAATACAGGGTTTAAAACCAGGTATATTTGTAATATATACATAAGGTTTTAATGACTGAATATCTTCAAGGTTTTTATAAAACCCTACCGTACAATGCAGGAAAATGCTCTTTTATTTCTTAAAACAATCAGCATCAAGAAATATTTTCCAAGCAAAAAAAATGTCTTCAATATATTTAAAGTAATGAGATCCATAACTCTCTGAAAATATCATTTTTTCAAACATCTATATACTCCTTTTCAAAAAATAAAAAGGTAAACCTATTAAATAAATAAATACACTATAAGAAGTATGGAAAGTATGAAACATCACTGAAGAAAACCTAAAGGCGCCCAAGTTCTGTCATAAAATGGTGAAAGTTCTCAGGTGCTCAGCCAATTACTTTTTTCCCCCTCAGTGGCTGCCATCTTGTGCTCCAGAATCTTAAGTTTTTGTTTAAAGGGACAATAAAAAGGTCTCTAGCTCTTATCATTGTAGAAAACATTCATAATGTACCACCGATGTAAATTAATACTGTCATGTATGCCTACGTCAGCAGAAAGGATGAGGAACAGTCAGCATGGATTCACCCAGGGAAACTCATGCCTGACTAATCTAATTGCCTTCTATGACGAGATAACTGGCTCTGTGGATGAGGGAAAAGCAGTGGACGTGTTGTTCCTTGACTTTAGCAAAGCTTTTGACAGAGTCTCCCACAGTATTCTTGCCAGCAAGTTAAAGAAGTATGGGCTGGATAACGGACTATAAGGTGGATAGAAAGCTGGCTAGATTGTCGGGCTCAACAGGTAGTGATCAATGGCTCCATGTCTAGCTGGCAACTGGTATCAAGTGGAGTTCCTCAAGGGTCAGTCCTCGGGCCGGTTTTGTTCAAGATCTTCATTAATGATCTGGAGAATGGCGTGGATTGCACCCTCAGCAAGTTTGATGATGACACTAAACTGGGAGGAGAGGTAGATATGCTGGAGGATAGGGATAGGATACAGAGGGACCTAGACAAATTAGAGGATTGGGCCAAAAGAAATCTGATGAGGTTCAACAAGGACAAGTGCAGAGTCCTGCACTTAGGACGGAAGAATCCCACGCACTGCTACAGACTAGGGACCGAACGGCTAGGCAGCAGTTCTGCAGAAAAGGACCTAGGGGTTACAGTGGACGAGAAGCTGGATATGAGTCAACAGTGTGCCCTTGTTGCCAAGAAGGCCAATGGCATTTTGGGATGTATAAGTAGGGGCATTGCCAGCAGATCGAGGGACGTGATCGTTCCCCTCTATTCAACATTGGTGAGGCCTCATCTGGAGTACTGTGTCCAGTTTTGGGCCCCACACTACAAGAAGGATATGGAAAAATTGGAAAGTGTCCAGTGGAGGGCAACAAAAATTATTAGGGGGCTGGAACACATGACTTATGAGGAGAGGCTGAGGGAACTGGGATTGTTTAGTCTGCGGAAGAGAAGAATGAGGGGGGATTTGATAGCTGCTTTCAACTAACTGAAAGGGGGTTCCAAAGAGGATGGATCTAGACTGTTCTCAGTGGTAGCAGATGACAGAACGAGGAGTAATGGTCTCAAGTTGCAGTGGGGGAGGTTTAGGTTGGATATTAGGAAAAACTTTTTCACTAGGAGGGTGGTGAAACACTGGAATGCGTTACCTAGGGAGGTTGTGAAATCTCCTTCCTTAGATATTTTTAAAGTCAGGCTTGACAAAGGCCTGGCTGGGATGATTTAGTTGGGGACTGGTCCTGCTTTGAACAGCGGATTGGACTAGATGACCTCCTGAGGTCCCTTCCAACCCTGATATTCTATGAAAGCCTGACACAACAGTGAAAAGATGTGAACTGCGTCTATTGAACTGTGTCAGTGAAAGGGTGTGAACTATGTCTTACTATGGTACTAAATCTGTAGTCCAATTATGATGATTTAAAAGTGAACAATTGACTATTTCACTGGTGATCGAACCACATAAAAGAAGGATGATCATATTATGAAGATCTGTATAGTCACTTGTGATTGTAAACCACAACTTAGGCTGCAAGCTGTGTTTAGGAAAGTACTGATAGTTTCCCCCCCACTCAATTTGACCTCTCTGCATACCAGCACTGTAGCTGCTGAAAAGCTTTGTCACATATTTGCAAAAATGCCAAATCTTTTATATTATTTTCAGGGGTCTCCTAAGCCAATCTTAGTTTACAGAGAAAGTACCCCAAATAATATCAATTCTGAATTCAAATAACATAATTCGCTGTTGATTACATTATTGCTAAGTAGACTTTTCACAGGTAACACAATTCAAGAAATCATCACTCTTTTCAAAATAAACTTAAACAGCCCTTTGGTTCAAATAATGTTGTGTGGATGTAAACAGCTGCCGAAAGAAATTGCTTGCAGTGAGCAAGTTTTGTTGCTCCTAACCTCCCCCCCCCCCCCCAGAAATTATGCTACATATTATAGACCATCTATTGGCACCTTAACTATTTATATGTATATAGATATAGAGATTCCCAAAATAGCATATCCTAGGACAATGCAGGGTTTTTGTGACAGAACACACCCCTGTATTCACACCCTACATAATATTGTAATAATCTTTGTACAAAGCATGACCTTTAAGGTATCATTTGAAAAAGTCATGATTTGCTGGTCAGTATTTGCTGGTAAAATGTGTGTGGCAACATTGTATGCGAGCTATAAGATTCCCTTGTATGGTGTTATTAACACATTCCAAACCCACAGCCCTGCCCATACAGATGTTGGCAAAAAGGTCTGTCCTAAACAAAGGAATGTGTGCTCTGGTAAATTTGCATTTAAGCAGTCCACTGAGTCATCAAGCATAAAGGGAAGACAAAGGAAGTTTAAACAGGTGAAAAAAACAGCAGGGAATGTCCTTTCATATAGACTCTTTGGCTCCTGGTTCTTAGCTGGGAATGTTTTTCAGTGAATAAAAAGGAGGGACAAACATACCAAGGAATCCCCTCTCATTCTTTCTGCCCATTCACTGCACCTGAAGAGGCAAAGGAAGTACTCCCCATCCAGGTCCCAGTTCTCCTGCCCAAGGGATGGGATTTAATTGCTGGAGATCCCAAATTTGAGCTGGGAAGAAAGGCAGCTGAGTCTTCTTTCTCCAAGGAATTTAGAATCCATTTTAGGACTTGAGTGGGAACCTGGAGCCCCTTAATGGTTTTTCTTTCTGGTCTTATTCTGTCCCAGCACTTACCGCTGGCATGACTTGCTGAACATCCTTCTCATCCTTGGCATCTCTCCCCTCTCTGCTCTTCATCTCTAGATCAGGCTTTTGTGTGTTGGAGTTGCAGCTTCTTGGGGTGGGAGGCACTCAACATTCCTGTCCAGCTCAGAGTCCCATGCCCTAGCAGTGCAAGCGTTGGCTGGCTGAGAACAGGCAGGGAACAGTTCACAAATAGACTACTGCTTGGATTTAGTTTGCTGTTTATGTGACAGTTTTGCCATGTCTGTAGGCGCAGTGGCAGAAGGTGGGGAAAGATATTGGCAGGGAGATGCTGCACTGCTGACTCTGGGAGGCTGAGACCATGCCACTGCTAAATAATGGATCCAAGAGAAGAGGAAATAAGAAGAGTGCTCACTGCTGCCTGGAAAAACAGGTGAAATAGCAAGCCGGTAAAAAAAGTCAGGAGCAAAGTGAACCACCTCTTGATTGCTGCAGTGGAGACAGCAGATCTGGCAGCAGGCCAGACAAGGGCTTGTGGCTAGCAGGGGCTGCGCTACAGCTTTTAACTGACTCCGGAAACTGCAGACAGGAGGGAAATAGCTCACACTGAACTGAGGGAGATACTGGGTTGCAGACTGGAACTTCCCCTTCATAAAGTAAGGAATTATGTGGGAACCAACCCAGTATCATATTACTACCAAAGGTTTCAGAGGAACAGCCGTGTTAGTCTGTATTCGCAAAAAGAAAAGGAGTACTTGTGGCACCTTAGAGACTAACCAATTTATTTGAGCATGAGCTTTTGTGAGCTACAGCTCACTTCATCAGATGTATACCGTGGAAACTGCAGCAGACTTTATATACACACAGAGAATATGAAACAATACCTCCTCCCACCCCACTGTCCTGCTGGTAATAGCTTATCTAAAGTGATCAACAGGTGGGCCATTTCCAGCACAAAGCCAGGTTTTCTCACCCTCCACCCCCCCCACACAAATTCACTCTCCTGCTGGTGCTAGCCCATCCAAAGTGACAACTCTTTACATAATCAAGTCGGGCTATTTCCTGCATAGATCCAGGTTTTCTCACATCCCCCCCACCCCCATACACACACAAACTCACTCTCCTGCTGGTAATAGCTCATCTAAACTGACCACTCTCCAAGTTTAAATCCAAGTTAAACCAGAACATCTGGGGGGGGGGGGGTAGGAAAAAACAAGAGGAAACAGGCTACCTTGCATAATGACTTAGCCACTCCCAGTCTCTATTTAAGCCTAAATTAATAGTATCCAATTTGCAAATGATTGCAAATGATGCAATGATTCATTTGCAAATTGGATACTATTAATTTAGGCTTAAATAGAGACTGGGAGTGGCTAAGTCATTGTTTCATATTCTCTGTGTGTATATAAA